TGCCTGGCCTGGGTGCCTGGGCCCTGCCCTGCCTGCTGCAGCCCCCGCCCCAGCAGGATGGCTGGCATCCCAGCGGCTGGGCCAGTGGTGGCAGCCGATGGGCCGATGTGCCGGCAGCTCCTGGCTATTGTTGAAGTTGTCGCCAGGGCAGCGGCAGGGGCCGGGAGCGCTGGAAATGCCGGGCTGTGTGCGCTGAGACCAGCTTCCCGTCCCCTCTCTTCTCCTCGCTGCCGCCTCCCTGCCTCTCCCCTCCCCTCTCCTGGCCTCTTTTCTTTTAAGTACCTCCCCGGCCGCTGCTTCCCATTGCTGTCTGTGTGGGTATTTATTTACGCGTCTTCGGGTGTTGCTCTCACCGTTAAAGAAGTGTTTGAAAAGGACGGGGGCTGGTTGTGGGGGTGCGCGTTGGTGTGAGGGGTGCGGAGGCTGATGTTGATGTGGTTTGTGAATGAGAACTTGGGGCCCGTGGCTCCGAGTTGCTCGTTTGTGCTCTGTGTTTGGCCCCGAGCTGGGGCTTGGAGGGCCCGTGGAGATGAAGCCTCGGACCCCTGGGTGTGCGCCCTCTCCCGCGCCCTGCCGTGGAGACCCCTCAGAGGGCATGAGCAGGGACCGCAGGGACCAACTTCATGATCTTGGTGGGACTGTCCAGGAATTGCCCCTCTTCCTCTGAGACCCCCCCCCACCCCCCAGTGAGGGGTCTGGCAGCTGCCCTTCCCAGTAGGATGGAAACCCTGGTGACAGGTGGCCCAAGTCTAGTGTTTTACCTGGGCCTCTGGTCCCTCCCTTCTTCCCTCGCCCATGGCCTTGATGGGGTGGGGGTGGGATCAGACTGCTCCAGCTTCCTGGCCCTGCCTGAGTGGGGTGGGGGAGGAGTAGGACTTCAAACCAGCTCCCCTGCCTGGGTCCTGGACCGAGCAGCGCTGGCCTTGGAGAGGGGATCCCCCTCCTGCCTGAAGGCCCCGTGAGGGTATGTCTGTCTGTCCAGCCGCTGAGCTGGTGGGCGTTTGCAGCCTTATTGGAATTTGGGTTTGTGTCCCATCCTGGGCCCCAGCCCAGGAGCCTGGGCTCTGGTGGCTCTCAGCCACTGCTTTTACCCTGAGAGAGGGCTGGCGCCCACTTGGAGCACAGAACGCAGAGAGAGACTGAGGCTGAGGTGGGAAGGCCGAGTGGGTAGGGGCCCAGTTTCTAGTGTGGCTCCTCCTCCCTGTGGGCACAGACCTAGCAGGTCCCCAGGCACTAGCTGGGCTGGGGCGCCTTCAGGATAAAGCTCACTTGGAGGGCAAGCCACTCGGTAGCCACGGGCTCAGTGTCAGACCTGTTCTGGTCGTCTGGGAACCTCCAAGGTGGGCACAGCCAGGGGAAGGGGGGTTGGGAGCTGGGACATGGCTGGGCCCAATCTGGGGTCTCCAGCGATTTGAGCTTCCCTATGCAGACTGATATGAAGAACTGCAGTCACCCCTCAGGACAGCCATTATGGTCTCAGCTCGGAGGTGAGGGGGAGGGGCTGGAAGAGATCAGGAGCCCCCTCCCTGCCTGGCCCTTCCTCCAGGCTGAGGGTGCAGTCTTTCTGAAGTACTGATCAAAGACCTGTGAGAAGTGGGGAAGGAGGGCTCTTGAGCGCAGTGGCTCCCTGGGGCTGTGTGTGTGTGTGTGTGTCCCTGTAACCAGGCAACCAGGGTGCTCAGGCCCCCCAGGCCTTTTGCCCCTGACGCTGCAGGCTGCACGGAGCCCAACCTGGCAGGGCATATCTGGGTCATGCATCCATCCATCCATTCATTCAGGGTCCCGTCATATGGCTATTCAGAGCTCTGTTAACGAGGCTACCAGGATGTGCGTGAGGATTCTGAGAATAAAACAGTGTTTGTCCACAGGAGGCCGGCTGTGGTTTAGGTAGATAGGCCAGGGGCTGAGCCGGGACCATGGGATGGGGGCTGCCTAGGCCCCCTGTACCTGGGACTCTGCCTGCCAAAGGCCTGGTGCCTGTGTGGCAGAACGGGGCTGGGGAGGGGGAGGGGCTTGGGGCTATGGCCCGGAGGCCCCCTTACCTCCTCTGCTCCTCTGGGAGGCCCCTCAGCCTCCCTACTGTTGGCCAGTGAGAGACCAGAGATTTCTGGGGAGTGGGTCCGCAGGCTGCTGGAGTGCCCACAGAAAGAGGGACATTCCAGCCAGACCCTGGGCCGTAAGAGAGCCGGAGCCAGGAAGGAGGGGCCATGGAAGGAAGAGGCGCAGCCGGGCAGGTGGCGAGGGCCACCCCTCACGTTGCCCTGTCGCCCTGGAGAGTGGTCTGCTCCTCCCTGGCTCTTTGGCCCTGGGCACAGGGTCACTGGCAGTATTTGGACAAGGAGGGACCCTTGATGGGGCAGGCACTGTGCTCCGGGTCACCCCAGGTTCCTGGCTGTCCCTTTACCTTGAGAGCTGCTGGTTTCCCAGCTGGAACAGGCAGCTGTCCCTGCCCCCTCCACCCAGGGCTGGTTAGAGAATGAAGAGTGTGTGAGTGGAAGCTCCTGGAGTCGAGGGGGTGTTGCCCGGCACCGAGAACAAGGGCTGTGACGTGCAGGCTGGCGGTGGAAGCGGGGCTGATCCCTGTGCCGGGGACACTGCTTGTGTGGCTGGTGCTGCCGGAGCCTGGGCAGCGCCTGGTGTGCAGTGGGCTCCGAGTTCTGGCCCTGGGTCTAGACAGCCTGTTACAGACCGACTGCCGTTTATCAGCTGTTACTTTACTTTTTGGTGCCTCAGTTTCCTTATCTACAAAGTGGAGATAATAGAACCGACCTCAGGAGTGACCCGAATAACTGTGTAGAGTGCGAATACCAGAAAGTACCAATAAGAGGCACTCCGTAAACACATGTCGGTACTTAGGTCACAGGACAAAGTCTTCTGACTCCTCCTCGTCCCTCGGTATCCGCAGGAGATTGGTTCCAGGGCCCCTGCAGGTACCGAAATCCACGGATGCTCAAGGCCCTTACATCACACGGCCGAGGACAATGCCTCCAGGCGGGCCTCTGCACCCAGGTTCCCAACCACAGATACATATGCTGTATGTTTATTGAAAAAAAAAAATCCACGTATAAGTGGACCCCATGCTGCAAACCTGTGTGGTTCAAAGGTCAACTATGCACTGCGAGCCGAGCTCACAGAAAACCGAGTGCACCTGTAGACCAGCCTTTCCGAGCAGCCGAGAAATAACTGCCTTTCAATGGGGCGGGGGGTGGGGGACGACGACGACTCTCCCCCAGGGCCTGGCTGTCGTGCTGGTGTCAGCTGTCCCAGGTTTTCTCCTGGGCTGGGGCCTCCCGGACGGCTGTGCGGCACTGCCCCCTGCGGCAGGCAGGGTCACTGCAGGGCCATGTTGGGGGGAACGGAAGCCTGAGGCCCTGGTCCTTGTCGTCTTGCCCCTCAGATCTACCGCAGGTGCTGGCTGGTGTTCCGGAAGTCCTCCAGCAAGGGGCCCCAGCGGCTGGAGAAGTACCCGGATGAGAAGTCCGTGTGCCTCCGAGGCTGCCCCAAGGTGAGGGGCCTGGGCCCTAGTGCCCCTAACCTGTAAGCAGTGGGTCCAAGAGCACCCTCCTGGGGGTGGCAGAGCGGTGGGGGGTGCGGGAGAGGGGCTCCAACCTGGCTGAGTCCTTTGTGGATGCTGCTCCAGGTGACCGAGATCAGTAATGTCAAGTGCGTCACACGGCTCCCCAAGGAGACCAAGAGGCAGGCAGTGGCCATCATCTTCACTGACGACTCGGCCCGGACCTTCACCTGCGACTCAGGTGAGGAGCTGGGGCTGCAGACCTCCCTCCAGCCTCCACTGGGCCGGCCGTGCTTCAGTGGGCCAGTTGGAGAAGGCAGAGCAGGGCTAGCTCTGGCTGGTATGAGGGTTGGGGTGCCTTTGAGTGAGCAGGCCCCCAGGATGAGGGGGAGACAGGCCAAATTCACTGGCCTTGCCTCCCTGCCTCACAGGGTGGGCTAACCCAGGCCGAGTAGATGGGGTGGGCTCCGGGGGACCCTGAGCCTGCAGCTCACAAGGTACCGTTTCTCTAGAACTGGAGGCGGAGGAGTGGTACAAGACCCTGTCTGTGGAGTGTCTGGGGTCGAGGCTCAACGACATCAGTCTGGGAGAGCCGGACCTCCTGGCCCCGGGGGTGCAGTGTGAACAGACAGGTGAGGCCTGGTGGTGGGGAGGAGGGGGCAGGAGGCCCCCCCTGGGAAGCTCCAGCCCATTCATCCTCTCCCCTCCAGATCGCTTCAACGTCTTCCTGTTACCCTGCCCCAACCTGGACGTGTATGGCGAGTGCAAGCTGCAGATCACCCACGAGAACATCTACCTCTGGGACATACACAACCCCCGCGTGAAGCTCGTCTCGTGGCCCCTCTGCTCACTGCGCCGCTATGGCCGGGACACCACACGCTTTACCTTCGAGGCTGGCCGGTAGGACCCTCTTGCCTCCCAACCTCGTCTCCCCACGGTCATGACGGTGGCCACCATTCACTCCGCGTCAGGCACTGTGCTGGGAGCTGAAGTTAGTTATTGGTGTAACCACCCCAAAGGGAACATAATATTCCCATTTTACAGATGAACAAATTGAGGCTCACAGCCGGCAGGTCAAGTGAGAGTTTACCAAAATCAAACTCTGTGGGCTCAAATCAAATGCTGGCACTGACACCAGCCCCGGGGTTGTGGACCTGAGCCTGTTTCCTCGTCTGTCACATAGGGGACAAGAAAGTACCTAACTTCATGGAATTGTGGAGAGGATGGGTTCCACAGCGTGAACTCGGAGCCAGCGTACCTAGGCTTGAATTCCGTGTAATCCTCTGTGTAACCTTGAAGTTACTTACCCTCTGTATGCCTGTTTCCTCACTGCAAAGTGGTTTGAGAAAACCCCTAGAAATGAGGAAACTAATGGTGTACAGAGCAGAGGGGAGGAGGAGAAAATGAATGCGCTCATTCCTGTAGAGCATTTAGACCACCACCGGGCGCATCGAAACAGCTCGGAATGTTCGAGCCGCGGGTCAGACCCCAGGGTGACAGCCTGCCTGTTTCCCAGAGGGCCCAGGGCACAGAAGAGCCCAACCAAGCACATGTGTGGGTGCCACCGGGTCCCCACCACCTTGCCTTCCATGCCACTGTGTCCCCAGGATGTGTGACGCTGGGGAAGGGCTCTACACCTTCCAGACGCAGGAAGGGGAACAGATTTACCAGCGGGTCCACAGTGCCACCCTGGCCATCGCCGAGCAGCACAAGCGGGTCCTGCTAGAAATGGAGAAGAATGTGAGGGTGAGGCAGTGGGCGTCTCGGCCCAGGGTACGGGGGAGGCTGGTGGGCGGGCAGGCCGAGCACCTGGAGTGTGCCAGGGGGTCTCCTCTTAGCGTGCCCACAGGAGAGGCAGGCAGGGTCTTGGGCTGGCTGCTTGAGGGCAAGCCACTGCCCCCAGGGCTAATGGGAGGGACCCCCTTTTCTGGCCCACAGCTGCTGAACAAGGGCACGGAACATTACTCCTACCCCTGCACGCCCACGACCATGCTGCCCCGCAGTGCCTACTGGCACCACATCACGGGCTCCCAGAACATCGCCGAGGCCTCCAGCTACGGTGGTGAGTCCCTGCAGTGCCCCTCGGCCACCTGCCATGAGCCTCTGTGGGAGACAAGGCCTTCTGGGCAGGGACCTTCCCACCTGGACCCGAGTCCTGAGCCTGCCTCTGTGTCCACAGGTGAGGGGCATGGGGCAGCCCAGGCCAGCTCGGAAACGGACCTCCTCGACAGATTCATCCTGCTAAAGCCAAAGCCCAGCCAGGGGGACAGCAGCGAGGCCAGGACCCCCGCCCAGTGACAGCCGGGCTGGCGTGCACCCATGACTGCGGGGCTGCCCGCTGCGAACTGAGGACAGCCTCAGGGGGCTATTGGCCACGCGCCTGGAGAAAGGGAGCCACTGTCCCTTCCTTGCCCCCACAGGGGAGGCTGGACCAAGGCAGAGGGCTGGCCACACTGCCTGAGCATGTGCGAGGGGCTGGAGCTACCCTGGGACTATTTACTGTTCATGATTTTAATATATACGGCTTATGACATATCCTGTATTAACAAGATTTCCCCCTGTCCCTCCCTGCCACCACATACAGTTTTGAATCCCATGACCAGGCCACCAAGGCTGGTTCTGAATGTCCTCCGTGGCACAGCCCTCCCGCTGCCAGGACTCGCCTGAGCTGCCAGGGCCGGAGGCAGACAATCAGAACTCAAGGCCGGTGCTGTCGGCAGGCTTCTCCCAGGAGCCAAGGGCTAAGACAGCAAGTGGCTTCTCAGTTCCTCTGGGCCTAGTGGCACAGGAAGGATCCGAACTCATGCGGTGCCACCTGCTGACATCTGGTTGACACCTCAGGTGAAAAGCTGGTTTGAAAAAGAAAATTTCTGCCCAGGCTCCTCCCTGCTTTGTAGGCTGAGAAGATACCTGTGGGCAGGAGTGCTGGTAACCTCAGCCGGGGGAGGCGTCCAGGCCAGGAGGGCGGGCCAGCAGGACTGCAGTGGGGAGCTGCCCTGCGGCCCCCTCTCACTGACCTGGGCCGGCAGTGCCCCTGCGGAGAGAGGAGAGGCCCCTCTCTGGTCTGGCCACCCTCTGGCCAGAAAGGACTCAGAAACCAGCCCTTCCACTTCCTCCCCACATGGTGCTGAGGCTCCCTGCTGAGATGCAATTAAAGCAATTGACTTTCTAGTGCTGGTATTTATTGACTACTGGGCAGAAGGGCTATCTTTCTATCCACATCAAACCTTCGGTTATGTGTGCTGTGTTTTTTTTTTTTTTAAATACTTAGGGTTCTGATTTGTGGGAACAGACCTTGTTACCCTGATGTAAATAACCACTGTTCAAGTTGTGGCAGGAGGAGGATAAGGCAGGAGGCCCCTCCAGCAGAGCCCTGGAGCCAAGGTGGTGGCCACAGCCAGCTTGGCTCTGAACCAAGCAGGGAGCGACCACCAGAGGCATAAGCCTGCAGGAGAGCCCGCTGAGGCCTTGGAGGGGGGAGCTGCTGGCTCAGCGAGCAGCACGATGACGCATGAAGGAGATTATGTTGTGCTCTTTATTGCCAAAAATAAAAACTCTACTGTTAATAAATATCCCTTCCTTTCTGCACTGTATCTCCGGTTTTCTCCCATGCCTCCCGCCAGGCTGCCTAATTAACTGCTTTGCGTATGTTCCTCCCAACAGGACTAAGGGGTCAAGGCCAGACCTTCATTAAGGCCCTTTCCCACCCCACTCTCTCCCCTCCCCTTCCCTCTCCACCCCAAACTAATTAAGCAGATCATTGGCAGTGAAGTCATAACTGAAGGGTAGAGAATGAAATACAGGGTTTATTTAGGGGTGGGGTGGGGAGGAGCAGCCAGGGTCTAAAGACACTTGGGAATTTGAGCGAAGTGTAGGCTGACCATGGGCAGGGCCTGGGTTTGTAGGCGGCCTGTATGATACTTCAAACACTCAGTCCTAACAGCGGAAACCTAAGGTACAGCAGTGAAATGCTAACTTTCACACAGAAAGTAAGTCAA